AATATGGATGGTACTAAGAGTAAATCTGTTACTTCGCGATACGAGCGGTACTACGAGTAATTGCGTTACTCAGCAATATGGGTGATATTCAGAGTAGGTGCGTTACTTAACGATACGAGCGGCACCAAGACAAAGTGCTGCGTAATTTAACAATATGAGTGATACGGACCAACAGGTCAGTTTGACCAACAAGCCGGTTGGACCAACTAATCGGTTGGACCAACAAGCCGGTTGGACCAACTGATATCTGTTACAACAACAAGGCAGTTTGAACATTTGATCTGTTGGGCCAACAAGCCAGTTGAACCAACAAGCTAATTCGACCAACTGGTCAGTTAGACCAACAAGCCGATTGGACCAACTGATTAGTTGGACCAACAAGCTGGTTGAACCATGTTAAGTTGGACCAAATAGTCGGTTGGACCAACTCGTCTCTTGGACCAACAAGCCGGTTGGACCAGCTGCTCTGTTGGACCAGCAAGCTAGTTGGACCCACTGATCAGTTTGACCAACAAGCAAAATGGACCAACCGGTTAGTTGTGCTAACAAGCCAGTTGGACCAACTGGTCAGTTGGACCAACAAGCCGGTTGGACCAACTGATCAGTTGGACCAACAAGCCGGCTGGACCGGCTGATCTGTTGGACAAACAAGCCGGTTGGACCAGCTGATCTGTTGGACCAAGAAGCCGGTTAGACCAACTGATCAGTTGGACCAACGAGCCGATTGGACCAACTGATTTGTTGGACCAACAAGCCGGTTGGACCAGCTGAACTGGTGGACCAACACGCCTTTTGGACCAACTGGTCAGTTGGACCAACAAGCCAGTTGAACCAACAAGCCGGCTGGACCAACTAGTCAGTTGGACCAACAAGTCGTTTGGACCAACTGATCAGTTGGACCAACAAGCCGGTTGGACCAACTGGTCAGTTGGACCAACAAGCCTGGTAGTTGGACCAACTGGTCTCTTGGACCAACATGCCAGTTAGACCAGCTGGCATGCTGGACCAACAAGCCAGTTAGACCAGCTGGCCTGTTGGACCAACAAGCTAGTTGGACCCACTAGTCAGTTTGACCAACAAGACAATTGGACCAACCGGTCAGCTGTACTAACAAGCCGGTTGGACCAACTGGTCAGTTGGACCAACAAGCCGGTTGGACCAACTGGTCAGTTGTGTTGGTGTAAGGGCCTAATAAACTCAAGCTATTAGGACTTAATCAAACTTAAAACCTCTCCTCGGGGTCACCTCCAAGGGTCCCTGGGTGCCTGGTACAAGACCAGCCCCTATCCTCGGGTCCGAGTTTGTAGAGAGAGGGATCAAGAAGGACTTAGTCAAAACAGCAAGAGTACCTTGAACGTCGCGCAGCGTGCCGTGCAGACCGTCGGTCAGATTAAGCTGAGAATTCGCTGTATCGAAGCTCGCTCCAAGAGCTTTAAAATGAGCCAAGTTGCCTCGCGAAAAGTTCTGCCATTACTAAGTTATGGCTCGGACAGCGTTTGCCTAGCGTTGGAGTGCTAGCATACTAGCGTTGACTCGGGTAGCATTCCGCCGTCGAATAGCGCAGAAACGAAATTCCAGCGAGGAAGGAATTCGCTTGAATCAATTTGACTATATTCAGGTACAAACAGAGAAGGATTAAATAGTTCTAGCTAGCAAGGACCTTGGGAATCAACCTGGGAACAACCAGGGATGATCCCAAATAATTCCAAGCAACAGAACCAACCTGGCTGGACAAAATAGCAGGTGGTAGGTTGGTAAACAACCTCTGGTTCTGTTTTTCCAACCTGGGAAAACAACAACCAGGTTCAGGTTCTAAAAACAGAACCTGTTTTGTCTTTGCCCAACCAGCCAAATGCTGGTTCCGCTGGTTTCCCCTGGCCTTGTAGCATGCAGATACAGACAAACAACATCCAACCTTCACCTAAATTGTACCCCTATAGTGCCTTCCCTGCTACACTATAGTTAACCAAACAAAACAGTACAATTTCGAGTTGGATAGAACTGAATCTGCGCAATCAACTCAACCGAACTACAAAGCTTCCATCTTGGGTTCCTTTGCGAGCTCGTCCTTTCTGCTTGCACTGTTCATAGCGCATACAATGTTGTGCCGAAGCGCACATTGCGCGAGTACCTGCAAATGCATCAAGCGAAAAATGCAAAAGCAAACAAACACACGAACATTCCATTCACACCCAAATGCATTCGCACACGCATACTCGTACAAACAGACGGCAGGATGTCGTGCAATGTAAATTTGCACCCAACACACTCCCCCTCAGCCTGCCGGCTGCATCCCCGTCATTCCATGCTAGTTCATGCTCATTCCACTCATGCGCACACAACGCCAATGAGGCTCATCCGCAAGCCTCTTGGTGAGAAAGTCTGCTGGCTGCTGGTGAGTCTTGATGTAGATCGGATGCACCGTCCCCCTCTTCACCTCCTTACGCAGCCAGTGCCACTTGATACGCATGTGCTTGTTCAGCCCATGAAGCACAGCGTTTCTGGCCATCCCAAGAGCCCCCTTGCTATCACAAAACAGCGGCGTAGCAACTTTCTGCTCCTGGCCAATCTCCTCTAACAGCCTCCTCAGCCAAATCACCTCCTTCACCCCATGGAACATCGCCATGTACTCTGATTCTACGGAAGAGAGTGCCGTCTCCGTCTGCTTCTTGGACCTCCAACTAACAGGTCCTCCCCCAACTACGCAGATGTATCCTCCCACAGATGAGGAATCCTCCTTCTCAGAAGCCCACGTAGCATCGGTAAAGCAAGTGAGAAATAGCTTGCCTTCTCCAAGCCTCTCCCCCTTCTCTTTCAGCACCTCCACCCCTTTCTGCTTCACCTGTGCAGATGCGGAGTATTGAACTCCAATGGTTGGGTGAGAGTTCAGGTACTTCACCACACGCTCAGCTGCATCCACCTGCTCCTCTGATGGATTCTGCACCACCCTAGCCAGCTGCCCAACCGAGAAAGAGATGTCGGGCCTCGTGTGAACTGCTGCGTACAAGAGGCTGCCCACCAAGGACTGAAATTGCTGCTGCTCTTCAGCTTCAACCCCTTCATCCTCTGCAGCCTTCACAAGCTTGAATTCTGCTGGCAGGGGAGTTGCAACCTTGCGCTCATTCTCAATCCCATACTTCTCCCCCAGCTCCTTGATGAACTTCTCCTGGTGCAGCTTCAACCACCTGTGATCTGGATCCCTCTCCACGTGCATCCCGAGGTAGTACTTTACCTCCCCAAGGTTCTTGCACTTGAAGTTTTCCATCAGTTGCTGCTGCACTTTCTGAATCTCCTTCATGCTGCTGCTGAAGAGAAGAATGTCGTCCACGTAGACCAGAAACAGCACCAGCTTCTCCCCCTCGCCCTTGAGAAAGAGGCTCTCATCACAGCTGCTGGTCCTGAATCCCATCTCCTCTAAAACAGCTGCCAACTTCTGGTACCAGCAGCGTGGCGCCTGCTTCAAGCCGTAGATGGACTTGTTGAGCTTGCACACCCTGCCCGTACCATCCTCATACCCAGGCGGCTGCGTCATGTACACATCCTCCTCTAAAATCCCATTCAGGATCGCCGTTGAAATATCCATCTGACTGATGAATTTCCCACTAACAGCTGCATCTGCCAACAAGACACGGAGGGTAGGGGGTTTGGCAGTGGGAGCAAAGATCTCGTTGAAGTCCTGCTTCTCCTTCTGCATAAACCCTTTAGCCACCAGCCTACTCTTGTAGATGGTGACCTGCCCCTTGTCATCGGTCTTGATCCTCAGCACCCACTTGCATTGTATCGCTTTCTTCCCATCAGGCAGCACCACCAGATCCCATGTCCTATTCTCCAGCAGACTCTGGTACTCAGCATCCCTAGAAGCCAGTGTTGGTATAAGGGCCTAATAAACTCAAGCTATTAGGACTTAACCAAACTTAAAACCTCTCCTCGGGGTCACCTCAAAGGGTCCCTGGGTGCCTGGTACAAGACCAGCCCCTATCCTCGGGTCCGAGTTTGTAGAGAGAGGGATCAAGAAGGACTTAGTCAAAACAGCAAGAGTACCTTGAACGTCGCGCAGCGTGCCGTGCAGACCGTCGATCGGATTAAGCTGAGAATTCGCTATATCGAAGCTCGCTCCAAGAGCTTTAAAATGAGCCAAGTTGCCTCGCGAAAAGTTCTGCCATTACTAAGTTATGGCTCGGACAGCGTTTGCCTAGCGTTGGAGTGCTAGCATACTAGCGTTGACTCGGGTAGCATTCCGCCGTCGAATAGCGCAGAAACGAAATTCCAGCGAGGAAGGAATTCGCTTGAATCAATTTGACTATATTCAGGTACAAACAGAGAAGGATTAAATAGTTCTAGCTAGCAAGGACCTTGGGAATCAACCTGGGAACAACCAGGGATGATCCCAAATAATTCCAAGCAACAGAACCAACCTGGCTGGACAAAATAGCAGGTGGTAGGTTGGTAAACAACCTCTGGTTCTGTTTTTCCAACCTGGGAAAACAACAACCAGGTTCAGGTTCTAAAAACAGAACCTGTTTTGTCTTTGCCCAACCAGCCAAATGCTGGTTCCGCTGGTTTCCCCTGGCCTTGTAGCATGCAGATACAGACAAACAACATCCAACCTTCACCTAAATTGTACCCCTATAGTGCCTTCCCTGCTACACTATAGTTAACCAAACAAAACAGTACAATTTCGAGTTGGATAGAACTGAATCTGCGCAATCAACTCAACCGAACTACAAAGCTTCCATCTTGGGTTCCTTTGCGAGCTCGTCCTTTCTGCTTGCACTGTTCATAGCGCATACAATGTTGTGCCGAAGCGCACATTGCGCGAGTACCTGCAAATGCATCAAGCGAAAAATGCAAAAGCAAACAAACACACGAACATTCCATTCACACCCAAATGCATTCGCACACGCATACTCGTACAAACAGACGGCAGGATGTCGTGCAATGTAAATTTGCACCCAACACACTCCCCCTCAGCCTGCCGGCTGCATCCCCGTCATTCCATGCTAGTTCATGCTCATTCCACTCATGCGCACACAACGCCAATGAGGCTCATCCGCAAGCCTCTTGGTGAGAAAGTCTGCTGGCTGCTGGTGAGTCTTGATGTAGATCGGATGCACCGTCCCCCTCTTCACCTCCTTACGCAGCCAGTGCCACTTGATACGCATGTGCTTGTTCAGCCCATGAAGCACAGCGTTTCTGGCCATCCCAAGAGCCCCCTTGCTATCACAAAACAGCGGCGTAGCAACTTTCTGCTCCTGGCCAATCTCCTCTAACAGCCTCCTCAGCCAAATCACCTCCTTCACCCCATGGAACATCGCCATGTACTCTGATTCTACGGAAGAGAGTGCCGTCTCCGTCTGCTTCTTGGACCTCCAACTAACAGGTCCTCCCCCAACTACGCAGATGTATCCTCCCACAGATGAGGAATCCTCCTTCTCAGAAGCCCACGTAGCATCGGTAAAGCAAGTGAGAAATAGCTTGCCTTCTCCAAGCCTCTCCCCCTTCTCTTTCAGCACCTCCACCCCTTTCTGCTTCACCTGTGCAGATGCGGAGTATTGAACTCCAATGCTTGGGTGAGAGTTCAGGTACTTCACCACACGCTCAGCTGCATCCACCTGCTCCTCTGATGGATTCTGCACCACCCTAGCCAGCTGCCCAACCGAGAAAGAGATGTCGGGCCTCGTGTGAACTGCTGCGTACAAGAGGCTGCCCACCAAGGACTGAAATTGCTGCTGCTCTTCAGCTTCAACCCCTTCATCCTCTGCAGCCTTCACAAGCTTGAATTCTGCTGGCAGGGGAGTTGCAACCTTGCGCTCATTCTCAATCCCATACTTCTCCCCCAGCTCCTTGATGAACTTCTCCTGGTGCAGCTTCAACCACCTGTGATCTGGATCCCTCTCCACGTGCATCCCGAGGTAGTACTTTACCTCCCCAAGGTTCTTGCACTTGAAGTTTTCCATCAGTTGCTGCTGCACTTTCTGGATCTCCTTCATGCTGCTGCTGAAGAGAAGAATGTCGTCCACATAGACCAGAAACAGCACCAGCTTCTCCCCCTCGCCCTTGAGAAAGAGGCTCTCATCACAGCTGCTGGTCCTGAATCCCATCTCCTCTAAAACAGCTGCCAACTTCTGGTACCAGCAGCGTGGCGCCTGCTTCAAGCCGTAGATGGACTTGTTGAGCTTGCACACCCTGCCCGTACCATCCTCATACCCAGGCGGCTGCGTCATGTACACATCCTCCTCTAAAATCCCATTCAGGATCGCCGTTGAAATATCCATCTGAATGATGAATTTCCCACTAACAGCTGCATCTGCCAACAAGACACGGAGGGTAGGGGGTTTGGCAGTGGGAGCAAAGATCTCGTTGAAGTCCTGCTTCTCCTTCTGCATAAACCCCTTCGCCACCAGCCTACTCTTGTAGATGGTGACCTGCCCCTTGTCATCGGTCTTGATCCTCAGCACCCACTTGCATTGTATCGCTTTCTTCCCATCAGGCAGCACCACCAGATCCCATGTCCTATTCTCCAGCAGACTCTGGTACTCAGCATCCCTAGAAGCCAGCCACTTGTCCCTATCTGGTCCAGCTAATGCCTCCTCCATGCTAGCTGGTTCCTCTGGTGCAGGGGCAAGAAAACAGTACGCAGGCTCATCCTCCTCATCCGGGTCATAGCCATGAGGTAGAATCAGCAATGCCTCTTCGGTCCCTAGCTGCTGCTCTGCTGCATCAGTTCCTGCAGTCAGCTTCTTAGTAGCCATACGGGTACGTCCTGGCCTGGAGACGGGTGTCTCCCATCCCTTCATAACGACACCCTTCGGCTTCTTAGTTTTTCCCTGCTGCTTCTCTCCTCCCTCGGGTCCAGCAGCTCCACTAGTGCTGCCGCCAGTTTCCACACCATTTTCTCCACCAGCAGATGCCTCCTGTACCTTCTCTCCATCACCATTTCCAGCAGCTGCCTCCTCTCCCTCCTCCCACACACTAGGAGTCAGGTCCAGCTGCATGGTGATCTGCTCCATCTGCTGGGACACCCTTGCCTCCGGCTGTTTCTCCCAGCTCCCATACATCATGCCCTCAATGAATTTCACATCCCTGCTGTCAAACAACACACCCTTGGATGGTTCCCACAGCAGCCATCCCTTGCTCTCAGCAGCCAGCCCCAAATGCACACACCAGATTGCACTCGCCCCCAACTTACTGCGGTAGGTCTTGGGGACGTGGGCGACTGCCATGCAACCGAACACCCTCAGCATGTCCACCGGCGGCTTCCTCCCAAGCCACCTCTCCAACGGCACCCACGAGTCATCCCCAACCTTGGTGAGCACCCTGTTCCTAGCGACAGTGGCGTGCCGGACAGCATGAGGCCACATAGAATTGCTCAGCCCAGATTCTATGAGCAGCGCCCTAGCTGTCTCCAGAATGGTCCGATTTGCCCGTTCTGCTACACCATTGGACTGTGGGGTATAAGCCGTGGTCAGCTCTCTCTGGATGCCCTGCTTCTTGAGCCAGGCCGTCATTTCAGCTCCAAGGAACTCACCACCCCGGTCTGTCCTAATCCGCTTCACTACACACTCCGCCTGCTTCTCCACGAATGGCAGCCAATCGTCCCGTATCGTGGAGGCGGCGTGGTCCTTCTGCTTCAGCGGATACGCCCACATCAGCCTGCTCCAGTCATCCACAATTGTAAGAAAATACCGCTCCCCCTTGTGCCCTTGCACCGGCAGCGGCCCCACCAAGTCCATGTGGACCAGCTCCAAAGGCTTCTTGCTCCTGCCAGCCACACTATGGAAAGGGAAACGGGTGAACTTTGAAAGCAAACAGATTTCACAGTTGTCATCGGGTGGCTGTCCGTTCAGCTTCAGACCCTTAACGGCTCCATCCTTCTCCAGCTGCTTCAGCAAAGGCATTGCCACATGCCCTAAGCGCCGGTGTGCCGTTGCCCAATCTGTCTCCCCAGATCTGGCCGACACTTTCACACCAACCCCTCCAACGGCATTGCACTCCCCCTGGATGCACACCCCTCTCCAGCCTGCCCCCCACCATGCCACGCCAGGGCCGGCAGCTGCCACATAGATCTGTACACGTCCTTGCTCTCGTGCAGATCCCAAAGCACCCGATTGCCCAGCTTCCCCTTATAAGTGCGTGCCCCATCCGTGTTGGTGTTCACCCCAGCCTTGCCAAGCTTACGGAGGGAGATAAGGTTGGCCTTCAGGTCGGGGACGAAGAGAACGTCGTGCAGCACCACCGGCTTGCCATCCGCTCCCTTAAACGCAGCTCGTCCCGCACCAGCCACCTTCAACATGTGTCCAGAGGCGGAGCACACTTCATTGATCGGTGCAGCTCGTACTTCGTCCAGCAGGTCCTTGCGCGGCGTCATCGTCCAAGCAGCGCCTGTGTCCAACACCCAATAGTCTAGGGGGTGCAGCTCTGCTCCAACTTTGGCAGAGGCGTCTCCTTGCTCCCCCTTGTCTCCCACATGGAAGAATTGGCCCGCGGTGCGCTCCTTCTTCTTCTCCGCACCGCCGTTGCCCTTCGGGTTGTTGTCGGACGAATCAGCGACCATGTTGGCGCCGTTTTTCTGGTTCCTCCGCGCGCCGCCATCCTGGTGACGATTCTGGGGGTTCCATCCATCGGGTTTCTTATAGCACAAAAACCAGGGGTGCCCTTCCTTCTCACAATACCAGCAACTCCCTTTCATTTTGCCACCAGCACCCGACTTGCCCCCACGTCCAGATTTCGCACCGCGACCCCAACCGGTACCTCCTTGTTGGTCGTTGGAGTCGTCGTCTTTCTTTGCACCGCGTCCAGCACCACCGAAGCCACGTCCTCTGCCACGTCGGCTCCCTTGCATCCCGTAGCCGCTGCTGCCGTCGTCTCCACCCCTCAGTTGGCGGCGACGGAAGTCCTCCTCCAGAATCTTCGTCCGCACCCACTCGAGCGTCCACAAGCTCTGGTTCTGCGGCAGGCTCAATCCGCTCGTAAATTGAAGCCATGATTCTGGCAGCAGCGCGAAACATCTTCAAGCACTTGGTCTGCTCCGGGTAGGTGATTCCCGCGGTCGCCAACTTCGCGTAGAGGTCGCGCATCTTGTCCAGGACTGGTTGCACCGGCGCTCCGCTCAGGCGCAACGCGGACAGCTCCCTCTCCAGCATCAACGTTGCGACAACGGAGGTCGGGGCGTGCAGCTCCTTCAACACGGTCCACGCCTTCGGACCGCATTCAACCTCCGGCAGCAGGTGCATGACGTGGTGACGCTGGTTCAGCTCCAAACTCTGCGACATCAAATAGTAGCCAGCCGAGGAGCGCTCGTCCCAATCTTCCTGCAGCGTGGGGTCACTCGGTCTAGGCTCCTCCCCAATCATTAGTTTCAGCAAACCGATCTGACGGAAATATAATTGCATTTTCCAGGCCCAATCATCATAGCCCTCACCATTGAACTTCTCGACGGTGAAATTCTTCAGCACCTCCTTGACAAGCGAGCCCTGGTTTGTTCGCGCTCCCCTTGGCGCTGAAAGACCAGAATCTTGGCTGCCGCTACGATCTTGGCCTGAAGATTCACCAGCTCCCGCCGAGGTGTTGCCCGCCATAGCTACCTATAACGAGGATCACTATAACGCAGCTCTGATACCAGCTTGTTGGTGTAAGGGCCTAATAAACACAAGCTATTAGGACTTAACCAAACTTAAAACCTCTCCTCGGGGTCACCTAAAAGGTCCCTGGGTGCCTGGTACAAGACCAGCCCCTATCCTCGGGTCCGAGTTTGTAGAGAGAGGGATCAAGAAGGACTTAGTCAAAAACAGCAAGATTACCTTTGAACGTCGCACAGCGGCCGTGCAGACCGTCGATCGGATTAAGCTGAGAATTCGCTATATCGAAGCTCGCTCCAAGAGCTTTAAAATGAGCAAGTTTGCCTCGCGAAAAGTTCTGCCATTACTAAGTTATGGCTCGGAGAGCGTTTGCCTAGCGTTGGGGTGCTAGCATACTAGCGTTGACTCGGGTAGCATTCCGCCGTCGAATAGCGCAGAAATGAAATTCCAGCGAGGAAGGAATTCGCTTGAATCAATTTGACTATATTCAGGTACAAACAGAGAAGGATTAAATAGTTCTAGCTAGCAAGGACCTTGGGAATCAACCTGGGAACAACCAGGGATGATCCCAAATAATTCCAAGCAACAGAACCAACCTGGCTGGACAAATAGCAGGTGGTAGGTTGGTAAACAACCTCTGGTTCTGTTTTTTTTCCAACCGGGAAAACAACAACCAGGTTCAGGTTCTAAAAACAGAACCTGTTTTGTCTTGCCCAACCAGCAAATGCTGGTTCCGCTGGTTTCCCCT